GGTATCTTGACAGCCATTTTGGTGCCATTTTTGGGACTAGTTGTGGATGGCATGACTCAAACATGGCCATCTTTACACTGTGACTTGCCCCACTGAGGACTCCATGGATGGAGAGTGCATCTCTTTTGGTTGTTAGCTAGATGGTACAGTGGTTAGAGTTCAGGGTTTGGAGTCAAAAAGATTTGAGTTCAAATATGGTCTTAGACACTTACTAGCTGTGTGGCCCAGACAAGTCATTAACCTCTGTTTGCCTCAATTTCTTCCACTGTAAAATGGGGATAATACTAAGTACCTCTCACAGTTGTTGTGGGGATCAAATGAAATAATAATTATAAAGCACTTAGCACAGTGCCTGGCATATAGTATGTGTTTCATAAATGTTCATTATTATTATTCCCTCTGATCTAGGGGTTTTGCATGGTTTGTTTTATGCTAGAACATTTATTCATTGTGTTGAAGCCTCTTTTTTTTTTTACTCATTTTTTTTTCAATCTCCACTGCTTTTTCTGAGAGGATTTCCTCATGATGAGCTCTTTCCCTTCCTTGGTGTTTGGTGTTGGTCTTTTGCTTTACTTGTCACATTCCTTGCTATTCTGAGATGATAGAGGACAGCTAAGCTTAGATAAGACCCCTTCCTCAGGAGTCTCAGCTATCCTTGCCCTTCTGTGTTTGACTTTGGGCAAGCCTCTGGGCCTCAGTTTCTTCATCAGTAAAATGAGGAGCTTAGGCTAGGTGACATTTAAGTTTGCTTCCAGGTTTAAATCTGTCATCCTTTGTGCGATGGATATTTTAATCTCTTTATGGAAGATCAGAATGACTAATTACCCATATACAAATACAAAGTGTATTCTAGAAGGAAGAGAACCTGTCAGAGATGAGAGAGACACTGGCAAGGTGCAGGGAAAATGAATTGGCTTCCACGGAAACTATGGCCCAAGGTGCTCAGCCTCATGGTCCCACTAATTTGTAATTAGCAAAATCCAAGCACTTTTGCAATACTGCCAGTGGGAGAAGACCATGGTGACCAGGGAGAAGTGGAATGACTAAGGTGAAGAGGAGTTCAATGCAAAGGGAGAGTGTTAGGGACTGTGGTGAGAGGTTTTTGAAGTAATTTCTGTATTTACCGCAGTTTTGATGGTTGGAAGAAGGTGCTTGAGCTTCCTCACTGCCTCAGTGTTCAAAGAGCCCTCTTTCTATCCCCATCCCCACCCCCACTCCCCACCTTCCTTAATTCAATTTAAGAAACATTTAATTCATCTATGGGCTCAGAGTTCCTCCCTGCATGTACCTGACATGGAGTCCTATGGAGCAATGGGTTTTGCTAAGTTGGGGGCCTGATTGATCCAAGGAACTTCTTCCTAGTTCCAACTTTCATGAAACTCTGGAATTTCAGGGACCACCACCCTAAACTATTCATCCCTGGCCTTTTGCTCTCTATCTGGGACCTAAAGAAAAGTTTGCCAATACCCCTTATCAGCTCTATCAGCTTTGATGTTATCTTAATTTAGATTACCAGGACTCTCCTGAAGTGAGCCTTTGCTGATGGTTCCCAGGCCTTCAGAAGCAACTCTTTTGGGTCTGAAACTTGAGCAGTGCTGCAAGAGGGGGGAGGGTGAATCTTTTAACTTTAGGATGGGCCAGAATTGACAAATGTGCTCCTTTTCTTCACTTGTCAAGGGTGGAGGACAAGAAAATTTTACAGAAAACTAATATCCAGAATTCAAGGAATCATCTTGTTCTTTGGCATTGGCTCCCCTGGAAGTTTTTTTGGGATCCCCATAACCTGTAGTCTTAAGTTAAGCATTCAACAAATCTGGTCTCTGAGCAACAAACTGGTCTCTCAGCCACCAGGGTTAGATTTAAATACTGTAAAAAAAGTTTTCTCACACATTTCCCCAGTGTATTTAATATGAGATTTGATTTAGAGAAATTTGATGTATGTACGGCTTTTCAATAACATGTGCATTGTGTAAAGTGAGGTATACCCTCAGTCTGAGATTGGAACAGGAGCTAGTGTTCACAGCCTGATTCAATCCTTGGCTTATTTTCAACACTAGTCTTAGTAAAGAGAGCAGGTTGTGTGGGCAGAAGTGAACTGAACTTCCATAAATGAAGTTGGCATATTTCACAGACATAGCTAGTGACTTTAGTGCCAGATTTACAAGGCATGAACACCAGGTAGAAGGGTTGGTTGTTAGGAGGACCAGAAAGATTCTTAGATTGGACTTTTTAGCAGGAAGAGGAAGATGTGTGGAAGAATCCTAAAATTGTAGATTTAGAACTGGAAGGGACCTTTGAAAATTATCAGGCCCCCAACCCTCTCATTTTATAGATGAGGTGAAGTGATTTGTCCAAAGTCATGAAGGTAATAAGGGGCAGAACTGGGATTCAGACTTAGGACTTCTGACTCCAAATTCAGTGCCCTTTCCATTATGCCACGGGAGAAAGAGCTGATATTGGGACAAGAGATTTTGGGGTCTTATTTTCCTTCTTCTGTTCCCCTCCCCTTTTTATCACACATACCTGAAAACCATCTGCTATGAGTCAGGACGTTGTGATAGAATCCCTCTGATTCCCATAGGCTCCCCAACACCATCCATACCCATTCCACGGTTAAGGGAAAACAACCTACGTGAATCAACCACTTCCTCATCCTAACCTTCCCACCACCCAAGTAAAAGGCAAAGACCTTCTTCCAAAAGCCCAAACTGGACCCAGAGCAATCTCCCAGGATGCATTTCAGTCTGCAGAATCAATCAACAAGCATTTGCGGAGCACCTACTAGCACAGTGCTAGTTACTAGAGATAACAATGCAAAAAATGAAACAGTCCCTGCTCTCTTTCTAGCAGAAGACTTAGTGGGCTACAGATCCCTGAACTACAAGGCAGGAGACCGTAATTGTAAAACCTTTGATGAGTCAATTCCCTTAAACCTAAAGAGATTGGGGAAGGGAATAAGCATTTATATAGCACCTACTATGTACCAGACACTATTCTAAGCACTTTACAAAAATTATCTCATTTGATTCTCTCAACAACCCTGGGTTGTTTGCTGTTCATTCGTTCAGTAATGTCCAACTCTTCGTGACCATTTGTGGGCCATTCCATTCATGGGGTTTTCTTGGTTACTGGAGTGGTTTGCCATTTCCTTTTCCAGTGGATTAAGGAAGAGGTTAAGTGACTTGCCCAGGGTTACATAACTAGTAAATGTCTGAGGCTGGATTTGAACTCAGGTCCTCTTGATTCCAGGCTGTATCCATTGAGCCATCTAGCTGCCTTCTAACAACCTTGGGAGGTAGGTGCTATTACGATTCCCATTTTACAGATTGGGAAACTAAGGCAGACAGAGGTTAAGTGACTTGCCCAGGTCACACAGCTAATGTATATCTGAGGCTAGATTTGAACTCATGTCTTCCTGACTTTAAGTCCAGTGTTCTATCAACTTTGCCACTTAACTGCCCCTAGGTAGCCTAGATAAAAATCTAGTCATAGATTATAAATCTTATAGAGTTGTAAGAAGCCTTAAATACCATGAATCCAACTCCTTCATGCTCCAGATAAAGAAAATGAAGGCAGAGAGTTGGGCAGTGTCCTTTTGCCCTGTCTGAGGTTATATCATTAGTTAATGGAAAACCTGGGCCTTGTAAATCCTCAGTATAGAGAGCTTTCTTGCAGCTCTGAAATTTTATAATTTGAATAATAAATCTCATAAATAGTTTTGAGGGCTCCCAGGTTCCACTAGGAAAACATAGATTTAGAACTGGAAAGAACCTAAGAGGTCAATGAATCTCTCTCCCTCTCATTTTATGGATGAGGAGTAACTAATAAGAATCACAATTTGAACCCAGGTCCTTTGATACCAAATCCAGTACTCTTTCCATTGTACCATAGTGCCTAACTAATATCAGGCTACTACTACTTTGGAAATAACTTTAAAGCCTGTTATACTCCCCTAAGATTTAAAGAGAATGCTCTTTAAAAAAAAACAACCTGGGTCTCTTCCTGTCTTGGATATAGCCACCAGTTTAGAATTATAAATTTTGGAGCTGAAGGAGACTTTAGAAATCATCTTGTAAAATTTTACACACATCCCAGCAGATGTCTCAGAGATCATTTGGCCCAATCTTACCATTTTCATATGAGGAAACTGAGGCCCAAGAAAGTGACAATTCAGCAGGAGCTGAGACCTATTTTATATAGCCATAGCTGACATTTATATAGTGAAATAAGGTTGGCGGACACATATATACAATCTCTGATTTGATCCTCACAACAATTCTATGAAGTAGGTGCTCTTGTTATCCCCATTTTACAGATGGGGAAACTGAGCCTCAGAGACATGCCTATGGTCACACAGTTCCTGTGGCAGGATTTGAACCTTGGTATTTCTAACCTCCAGTCCAGCATTCATTTCAACTATACCATACATTGCGTATACGGGGTATTCCAAAAGTCTTAGTGCAATTTTAAGCTATTGAAGCTTAAAACTGCACTAAAATTTTTGGGATACCCTATATATTAATGCTTATTATTGTTGTTAATAGCAGATTTTTATTTTTAGCAGCATTTATATAGCACTTTATGGCTTGCAAAAATAAGATTTCGTTTTATATGTATGTGTGTTTTATATGTATATGCAGTGATATCCCAACTCCAGAGAAAAAGAATGGGGGCCACTGCTGCTGGTAAAACAAAATATTTTGCTGTCTAAGTTGATATCTAATGCATAGTATTACAAGGCAGGATCCCCCTACTCTTTTGTTCCCCTCCTCTCCCTTTCCTTCCTTTCCCCTCCCTTCTTCTCCCTTCCCCCTGCCTTCCCAACTTGTCACTCTGGCAGGTTGCAGTTTCAGTGAAGGGAGGGGAGGGGAGGGGAGAGGGGCTGCTGTCCAACCAGCTCGCTCAGTCTGAGGCCCAGAGCAGGGGATCTCTAAGAAGGGTCTGCCACTGAATTGGCTTCTCTTTCATTCTGTTGACTCCTTTCTCCAGGGTCAGGGAAGATGGTGAGGTGGGAGCTGTGGGTTGCTGCTGTCTCTTTGGTTTTCCTCTCTATCCAAGCATTTCCACAGACGGACATTAAAATCAGCCCAGGTGAGTGTGGACTGGGAGGTTTGCAGAGGGGATAAATCTCAGCTCTTCCTTTCAGGGCATTTTGCAAAGGTCAGATGGATGCAAATTAGATCAACCAGAACTTCTTGTCTTTCAGAGAGTGCTCCTGTTCTTTCTCAGTGGCTTTTAATGCCGAAGTCAGGACTGGGCTTACTCAGCTCTGTGGCAGCTCCCATTCATAGGGATTATTCTGGACACAGGTCAGCCCATTCCTAGAGCCCAGTGACATATTCCAGATGCTAGCCACAGGGGCATAAACTGAATGAATGAGTAGGCCATCTAAACCCAGGTGGTGTAGGGGAAGTGCTAGTTTTGCTATTGTAGGGTGATTGCAGTGTGGCGAGACCTCACAGACTGAGGGGCATCACCAGATGTTCCTGAGAATTGAGGGCTACCAGGCTTCCTGAGGAGAGAGTTCTAGCAGCTGATGATCTGTAGTACATTTGTTTAACTATTTTGTCACAATTTAAAGCAACAAGAAGTTTCAAATCAAGAGATAATGCAATTTAGTGGAAAGAATACTAGACTTGGCATCAGGAAAGATATGGGTTCCAATCTTGCCTCACTGTCTTTACCTGCAAAATAAGGATGATACAACTTGTATTAGTTACCTTATTGGGTTGTTGTGAGGAAACCTTAACGTACTCTACAACTACGACCTATTATTTATTATCACCTATGGTTTATTGAAGCAGTATTGCATAGTGAGGTGGCCTCAGTCAGAAGGATGTGGGTTCAAGACCTACTTCTGATACATATTGGCTGTACGACCCTGGGCAAGTCACTGAACTCAGTATCCTCCGGCAATTCTCTCAGATTACAAATTTCTACATTGGTAGGGGGAGTTACTCCACCAATGAAATGATAGGACTAGTAGTAGTAGTAGGAGTAGTAGTAGTAGGAATAGTAGTAGTAATAATATTAATAATAATAATTCTGTTTACTGGACTTACTGTTCACTTTTATGAAGAGGATTTATGGTAAATTCCATTAAAATCAAATTAAAACTTGCACCTCACCAAACTATTATTTGATATATTGATACAAATCTGGGTTCTCAAAGGCTATGGTGCAGAGGGCAGGATAATACCAAGCTGGGAAGGGAAAGGGAATAAGCATTTATATAGTGCCTACTATATCCTAAGTGCTTTTATAAATATTATTTCTTTAAGTGGTCCTCACAATAATCCTGTGAGGTAAGTGGTGTTATTATCACCATTTTTACAGTTGTGGAAAGACAAAGTGACTTGTCCAGGGTCACACAGCTCATAACAACCCTCTGCTGTTATTATCCACATTTTACAGTTGAGGAAAGTAAGGTTAAGCAACTTTCCCAGGGTCACACAGTTAAGTGCCTGAAGTTAAACTTCATGCTGAATGCTCTATCCACTGCACCACCTTCCTGCTGTAGGTAGGTGGGCAGGTTTAAAGTAAAGAAGAGACTATATGTCTGTTGTCTGAGGACCAGCCTGGCTAAGTTCTAAGAAGTTTATCATCAGGTTAACTATGAGGTGATGAATTTTTCAATCACAGCAACTCTTAGAGACCATCTTATTCCTAGAAGGGTGATCTGTCTTTGTGGAGGGAATGTCTACACGTGGCAATGGCAAATCCTTGACCTATTGATGTAAGAAAATAACAAATCTGCCCTCAGAATTTACGAAGCACTTAATGTGCATTACTCATGTGGTCCTTGGCAACAACTCTGTGAGGTAGGCAGTGCTAATGTTATTATCATTCCCATTTTACGAGGAGAAAACTGAGAACCCAAAGGTCACATGACCAATAAGTATCTCTAGTGGTAGAGCCAGAATGTGTGAATCTCCATTTTATGATCCAAACTCCAATTCTCTTTCCACTATCCTACTGTGGTAGAACAACTACCAAGGAGCTCAATGGGAAAGCACTAGAGTTAGAGGACCTGGGTTCAAATCCCACCTTTGATATTTATTACCTATATGTCCTTGAGCTCAGTTTCTTCATCTATAAAATGGAGGTGTTAGACTAGATGGCTTTGGAGGTCCTTCTCAGCTCTACAGCTGGTATCCTATCAGCTTTTGCCCTATGGGTAGGGCTTGTTGTTTGGGAAGCCATTAAACATAATGGAAGAGGAAGCAGCTTAAGGAGGGGAATGGTCAGGATGGAAATAGGATTTTTTCATTGAAGCAACCAGGTGGTGCAATGGATAGAGCATGAACTTAAGATCAAGAAAACCTGAGTTCAAATCACATCTTAGATGTCACTAGCTATGTGACCCTTGGCAAGTCACTTACTCTCTCTCTGACTCAGTTTCCTTATCTGTAAAATGTGGATAAAAATAGTACCTACCTCCTAGAGTTGTTGTGAGGATCAAATAAAGTAATGTTTGTAAGAATGCCTTCAAAAGTATTATAGAAATGCTAGGTATTATTATTATCATTCTTATTTCATCCCAATGGACAGAACATCTGTCTTTATCTCCTCCAGCTCCTGGCATAATGAACAGTATCTAGTAGGTGCTTAATAAGTGTTTGATGGATGAGTGAATGAAAGATAATTTGGAGAATTTATTGTGAGAACAAAGGAGGAGAACAGAAAAGAAGCATGATGTGTTTGGCAGCAGCCCAGATTTGCCTAGTCTCAGAAGGCCCAGAAGACTCCTATCTGTACAGATTCCCTAGAGGAAAACATTTCAACAAAGGAAGGGAGGCAGGCTGCTGTCTGGGGGCTTTTTTAAAACTGAAGTCCAGTACTCCTATCCTAGTTGTCTTTGAGGAATCTCTAGGACAGCAGAGGGAGATGGACCCACCAAATGTTCTTTATCTCTGAGAGAAGACCAGCCCTGGTTTTCTCTTCTTGTCCACAGCTGGGGGCAAGGAGTAGTCTTCTTAGAAAGCCCACAGTGGAAGTATTTATGACCCCTGAGGTGATGGTAGGTCCTGAAGGCAGCTAAGTGATGCTGTAGATAGGGCACTGGGTCTAGAAGACCTGAGGTTAAATTCAGTCTCAGGCAGTCTTAGACAAGTCACTTAACCTCTGTTTGCCTCAGTTTCCTAAACTGTAAAATGAAAATAATAATACCTACCTTACAGGGTTGGTGGGAGGGTCATATGAGATAATACTTGTAAAGCGCTTAAAGTGCCTGGCACACAATAGACACTTAATAAATGCTTGTTTCCTTCTTTCTTTCCTCCCTCCCTCCCTTCCTTCTTTCCTCCCCTTCCTTTTTTTCTTCCCTTTTCTTCCTTCCTCCCTTCTTTCTTTCCTTCCTTCCTTCTTCCTCCCTCCCTCCCTCCTTTCTTCCTTCTTTTCTTCCCTTCTTCCTTCTTTCCTTTCTTCCTCTCTCCCTCCCTTACTACCTTCCTTCCTTCCCTCTCTCCCTCTCTCCTTCCCTCCCTCATTCCTTTCTTCCTTCCTTCTCACCAGAGAATGTGGGATGGGATTGGGGACTGAACCTGTGATTTAAAATGGTATAGAGAACTCCAGAGTGAAGAAACTCCCTCTACCAGAGCAGGTCAACATCTCTGTGATTTATAGTCTCAGAGTTGCCTAGCCCACTGAGAGGTTGTGACATTCCAGGGTCATGGGCCATCATGTATCAGAGGCCAGACTAGCATCCAAGCGCTCCTGGTTTCAAGGCTGACTCTCTATTCATCGTGCCATGTATAAAAAAATAAGGGGACAGGGTCAGATTTGGGCAAAGGCCCCATCCCCATGCCCAGAAGACAAAGAAACTCTTTCCTAATCAATGCTACTGAGTGACCAGGGTCTTATGACTCAGCTATAAGTTTAGCCCAGAACTGGCTCCAAATGAAGTCCCAGCAAGGCAGAGACAACTATGGAAATTGAATCTTCTCCTACCACCTTCTTTTCTCTTCTGTTGCTGTGACTGATCTCAGTGGGAAGCAGCATCCCATTCCTGAAGCAGTACTTGACCTTCTGTAGCAAGTGGTTAGATTGAGTGGGAAGCTGACAAATTTTTTCTTTAAAAAAACAAACAAACAAAAACAGCAAAATTCCTCTCACAAATTTGAATTCACAAGTTTGAATTCAAACACAACAGGTGAAATCTGTGGGTGACTCAATGCATAACATCTGGCCAAAGGCCACACAGTTTGGGTCCCCTTTTGTAAACATGGCAGAAAAACTAGCCATAGTTTAATAACACTTGCTTGCATTTAAGTATTACTTTATGACTTCCAAAGCAATTTACAAATGCAGGCTCATTTGATCCTCCTAACAATCTGGATTTAGAAAGCAACTTCACCTACAGCTAACAATCTCCCTAAGCTCCTACCCAGAAGAAAGATATTTTTTCCCTGACCACTACTACTTGAGTGACCAAGAACTTAGAACTCAGCTTAGAACTTCTGGCCAGAGCCAGTCAGTGAGGTCAGTATGTTTACTCCTATTTAATTCAGGCCAGTCAATCAGTAAGCATTTAAAAAAATTCCCAATTAAATGTAAAAAGAATTTTTATATATTTAAAAAATTTTTTAATTCCAAATTTTATCCCTCCTTCCCTCTTCTTCCTCCTTATTGAGAAGGCAAGTAATTTGGTATAGGTTATTCACTAAGCATTTATTAAGCATCTACTGTGTGCCAGGCACTGTGCTAAGCGAAGGGTATACAAAGAGAGGTAAAAGACAGTCCTTGCTCTCAAGGAGCTCATATAGTCTTAACGGAAAAGCTCATAGTCATCCTAGTTGAGCATACAGCATGATAGCTTTGGAGTCAGAGGAATTAGATTCAAATAATCTGGGTTCTAATTTGCATGATAAATAATTTGGCAAAGAATTTCATTGCTCTGGACCTCAGTTTCTTTGTCTATAAGATGAGGGGATTGATTAGATAGCCCCACCACCAGTGTCCCTTCCGGATTGAGAGGCAGCCTTATGAGATTTTTGGTTCAGGCCATTGTGAATGGGAATTGGGAATCTGGGACATCTGCTTCTCTGATGTATTATTTTCCTTCTCTGTCTCTCATCCATATCCTTCTCTCC